TGAGTGAGCGACGGGCCGCGTCCGCGAAATGAAGGGCCCCCGATGGGCTCGAAACTAGTCGGTTCCGCCACCGGACGTATATACGTGAGTGTGTAGCCGTGTTTATATATCAGTTTAGTATAATGTCTCACGAAAGTTTGAATAAATTAAGATTATTTTGTTGTGCTTCATAAAAATATCTGTCTCTCTTTCCCTGTTTCTTTAGTTTCCATTTATTAATCCTCCAGATTTATCTCCCATTAGTGAAGGGTCCCGACCTCTTCTAAACGATGTTACTCCTCTGGTCGTGGTCTTTTTTAAGATGGATGGAGTTATGTTCTGTGGCCTCAAGCAAGAAGCGTATTTGAGAAGCGCATCTAGTGGCTCCCTCTGTGTCCCTTTCTCTCAATTTAGTGGAATATTTTATATTACTTTTGCTCGACCGATTCCTAAGTACCATAAGGCTTTTATTGAAGTATGTTCACAAACTTTATCGGTTTATGTTTCGAAACATTATATGACCGAAACAGCCTTTTTATGTGAGGAAATCCAATCGCTATGTTATAAGTCCTTGTTTATGTAGCAATAAAGACAACTTTCAGTATGACCGTAAACGAAAGTTTTGCTTTGATTATACGTATTTATAAGCATTTTATTACATGACGGAATTACATCGTTTTGAACCTTGTTTATATTTGAATCGTTATATTCTAATAGAAATAAAAATATTTCCTATTTTAACTGAGACTGGTGACTACTACAGCTATATTAAATGATATTCATTGTAATACAAAAAGTTGACATGTATAGTTACACTCGGATGTCTGGCCCTATGAGAGAGGCGCTGTAATCGCGGTTAGTTCTGTCAGAAAATATGTGAAACCTATATTAAAAACTAACTATCGCCCGTGGCTCCGAACGCGCGCAATTAAAAAAACCTAATTAGTAGCCTATTTGTTCTTCAAGGCTTTATTCTCCATCTATGCGAAAATTCACTCAGATCCATTTTTCCGTTCCGGCGATACCTTTTAATAAACATCCATCCATCATCGATCCATTCATCCAAACATTCGCATTTATAATATTAAGTAAGATGGCATAAAAGAGAAAGAAACACAACATTTACAGTAGGAAACCTAGTGATGCATTTTTGACATTGACAGGAGGGCGCTAGTGAGCTGTTATAATTTAGTTTGATTTATGTCCATCGGGTCAGACATCCTTGTTGGTTTATACTTTAACAATATTGTAATGTGGAATTAGATTCGTGCATCCACTATAAAAAGCAATTTCGACTACATTTTATTACTTTAAGCTTGGTTTGCGGTTTTTATGATTTTTGTTTGAAACTCTTTTATGAAATGTCTAGGAACAATTGTAATTATTTTCAAGATTGTGATAGTTCTGTTCTTGTTGTGTTCACGGTAACATCTTATCTCGGTCTATTGTTGCTCAAGTTTTGCACAATATTTTAAGTTTTTCTTACACTGCAGAGTATGTTTTTTGTAGTCCGTTTCCCAGGTCAAAATTATTAGTTAATAGTGAGTTTCTGAGACCAATAAATTTTTGGTATTCTAATATATGAACTACTTTTCGGAATGCTTAAAACTATAAATTGTTTTTTTTTTAAGATCTTACTTACAAATATTTATACTACTTACATACTTATAGTCCTATGTCCCCGCAGTGGGGCAGAGGGCGTCCACAGCGCGCCGCCAGTTCGCTCTATCCTGGGCTCTGCGCTTGGTCTCGGGCCATGTCAGCCCAATCGCCTTCATTTCGGCAGCTACTGATCTCCACCAAGTTTGTTTAGGACGGCCACGTCTTCTTGTTCCTAGCGGGATCCACTCAAGGGCCTCCCTGGGAATATGACTGGGATCAATATAAATAACCGTTATAAATATACAAATATTCATAACGGTTACTTAAGCAATTTAAATTGTATTTTATTTTTTAAATTACTTATTTCCTTTTACATTCCTAAAACGTATTATGAAATATTCATGTAATTTTACAATGGTCAAATACTGACTGATTTGCTAATAACATGACCTTACAATTGAATTTCAAATTACATTTCACGAAACGGATAGATAATGGATGGAAAAGTATTCGTGGAGCGTCTTCATGAAATTAAGTTACATTCATATCGAATTCAGTAAATCCCGTGGGCCCGGCAATTCGCAATAAGCTGAGGCTTTAAAAGTTTAAATCGATTCACTTCTCCAAATGTTACTCTTCATTTTATTGAAAAAGGTCCCTCGTTTATTCTTCTTTCGTCGACAACATTGTTTTAAGAATTTAATAAATGACGGTCACCATCTGTATTTTTTATATTATCTGACGTAAACGTGACCCCTCAAGTTATTGATTAATTAGTTGAACTGCGTATAAACATCTGTGCACAGGAATCTTACTAATACATATTATAAATAGTACGGCTGGATATATGTTTGGTACCACGTAACTCCTAAACAGCTGAAAGCCTCTCGGTGATTATTTACTTAATTTATTTACGGACTTAACTAAGTTTTTTAAGTTTCACGAGCACGGAGTTTTAGGCGATAGCTTACTTTTATAAATACAAGGTTACAAACGAGCTGTTTCGCTGAAATAGCGATGCAACCGCTGCTCATAGTAGCAGATGCTTTCCCTATCTTTAATTGAGGAAAGAGGGAACGCATGTAAAAATGATATGTTTCCATCCTATGTGTCCACTACTCCATCAAAACTATTTCTCTTCTTTTTATTATAGGATAGGGAAAAAGGACTCAAAATAGGCCTAGGCTAGATAAGGTTTTGGTGATATTTTTATTATACGTAAGTTATGGCATTTATATATGTTAAAGGCATTTATGCACAGATAATGTTTAAATAGTTTATAGAGTTCTAATTTTAAATTTGACCTACTATTTGGAAAACAGTGATATATTCGTATCTCCGATAATTTGATTCTCTTTAAATTAAATTTAGATTAGGCAATGTCATTGTATAATTTCGTTGCGTTACTGGATTGTATAGAATATATTTCAACTCAAAATGTGAACATTCCCCCGGGAAACCTATTCCATTTATTTATTTGTGCGACAATGTATGATTATGAGCATACTAAAGAAAAATGTCGAGAAAATTTCTTTATAAATTCATGGATAGGGCCATTTCCTTCCCTTTCTGTACAATGATAGCAAAAGATTGAATTTCTGTTCCGCATGATTTACTATACACAAGTAAAGGGACTATTCCCGACTTCAAATATTACCTATGAACGTTCTTCACACTAGACTTGAGATAAACGGGGTGCACTTTTATACGAGGTTCCACCGAAAGTTACAAAATTAATGAAACAATTGTCCGAAGTGATAGAAAATCTTATTTTACTAATATTATAAATGCGAATGTTTAGATGGATGTTTGTTTGATGATATCTCCGGAACGGCTCAACGGATCTTGATGAAATTTGGCATAAATATAGAACATAGTCTGAAAGAACACATAGGTTACTAATATTTTTCCGTTTTTAATTCTGCGCGTTGGTTGGTTGTACTAAAACATTAAAATTTGTCTTAAACATGCGAAATGTTTAAACTAGCAAAGTTATTAAATATTTTGAAGATTCCAAACGTACATCAAAATTATACATAGAGTCGGTAGAAGTTTTCTTACTAAAATGCGAATGTCTGGATGGATGGATGGATGTTTGTTTAAAAATATGTCCAGAACGGCTGTATGAATCTCATTGAAATTTGGAATTGATGTAAAATATAGTTTGGATGAAGACACAGGCAATTAAGTTTTTTTTAATGCCCCACGGATAGAGTCGCGGGCGACAGCTAGCCTATATTATGGTTGCTACAACTCATCGAATACGTTTGGAGTTAGATTCAGGAAATTATAGCCGTGTGTAAATTATATAGTGGCAATATAAACTACCATTTGTTGCTTTAACAAATGGCTCTTTGTTGCATCCGGTTGTATGGTAATTTACTATGATATTGTTTGGTTATATTGTGAATACTGCGACAAATTTACGTTCTATATTAAACGCATTTATCTCTTTGACTTCGATGTGACTTACTAGCTGTAGCCAGCGACTCCGCCCGCGCTGAAATAAAAAAAAATATGAGTAGAGTTAAAATGTAATTAAGTAAGTTTTAAGTTGGTTAATGCTGTATTAAAATTTAAACATCAGATGTATTTAAACTTAGCTTTATTGATTATCCGAGACTTAACAGACACTTGATAACAATCCCTATAACGGCCACATATAATTTATAGGTTATTTGACGTGTATAATAATTAACATATCGACCTTAACCTATTTAATTTTGACAAGAGGTTAGTTTGATACGGGTCGTTGGATACAATTTTGATACTTCTATCAAATATTATATAATTTATATTTTACATATACACGTACAACGATATTAATTAAGATTATTGACACATAATTAAATATAATATCAATACAACATCGTCAGTTGGTAATCGAACGTCATTAAAGTGTCTGGTAACAATCAAAGTTTATGTAATAGTTTGATAAAGTTTTAACTTTTAAAACGCAGACAAACGCGTCTAAAAGGCTTTATATGAGACACGTAAGTTTTGATAAAAAAATTGATCTTTGTGTTTTAAATATTTTTGTTATAAAAATAAATAAAGTCAGTCAAGTGATAGTGTACTACAGTCCTAAACCTTTTAAGGTAAAGAAGTACAGTAGACATTAGAAGAAATATTTTTTTTATATTATAAGGTGGCAAGCGAGTAAGCGGCCACCTGAAATCGCTGAAATAGCGAAGTGACCGTTACCCATAGACATACGCAATTGCATGTGCGTTGCCTACCTTTAATCGACGGAGGAAAAGATGCATAGAACGAAATTTTTTTCTCTTCGCTTACATCTCCTCATCCGGAAAGTTCACTTCCACCTCCCATCCTTGCCATATAAGAAAAAGGGTGGGAAGGGAAAGAGGACTAAATTTGGCCTCGGGGACGCACACTCTTCAGACGAAACGCGGAATTGCTTCCACTTCACGCCTATCTTCTGTGTGGCCGTGGTATTTCACCGGGCGAGCCGGGCCAATTCGTGCGAAGATGTTAAACTGGTCTCTACCACTATTAATAAATGAAGGAACGTACAGAATTTTTTCAACAATTTTTTTTTTCAAGAAATTTAAATATTTTTTGTTCCGTTTTCGATACCTATTGGTACAGCCTTGTTTATTTTATTCTTTATTAACAGCCGCAAACGTTTAAAAACTTATTTCATCGCCAAAACAAATTTGATCAGTACACTCGAGCCCTTTCAACTTAATATTACCAATTTTATGATCACGTTCGGGTTGAAGGGATTTCGTTTAATGAAAATCGTTATTCTTTGTTTACTTCAAATTTTGTTTAATAGCTTAATATAACGAATTTTAAAAGTAAACTACGACCAGGAGCTTTTAATCTATTACTTGTTTTAATTTTATAATACTGTTTCGAGTTTATCAAAGTACTTTTTTACGTTAGTGCATTATTTATGTATAATTAGAGACGTTCTAATTGCTTGCAACTCTATATGATAATTCGTTGCACATTTAATTTCCCTCCACAATAACTGTATTACCCCAAAAAAACAGTTAGACACAGTTTAATTAAACACGTGTTTTAACGTTTTGTGCGCCGTTAACATGTTTCGCCACATATATGTACCACACTAATTTCTTTCTAAGTACTTAATTATTTATAGGTCAAGATCGAATTTCCAAGTCGCATTATAATCTGTATGGTTTCCCATGGATTGTCAATAATTCACCCTTTTACTTGTAAAATGGTGAACGTATGCTTAAGCTAAAATGTTTCCAAGTATTTTTTTATGGAGAGGTCCCAAATGATTAATATTATTTCAAGACTACAATCATATCCTTTATGCTTTAGTATAGAACATAACTTTATATAGTCGCATACTGAAATTATTTTTATATCCTACTTATATTCAAATACGCCTGTTTACTTCTTATAAATCATCGGACCTTAAGACAAGTGGAGTGGCCTCTCTTCTGAAGATTTTATAACCGCTGATCTGGCGTTATTCTTACTCGCAAAATTTGGATGGCGTCCAAGCGAGTTCTATGTTCTCAGTACTTTTGTTCAATGCTTATCTTTATTGTTGCTTTTGCCGATGAAAGTATTTTGTTTAGTTCAAAAAGTATTCAACGATAACAAAGTTGAATATTTGTACCCACTAAGTCACCATATCCGAGTACTAAGTTTGTTAAACTTTGAATTGGGAATTCGGTTCAAATACAAAATAACTTTAACCAATGACCCAACTTTGTAGTAAACCTTTTTTCTAGACTTTAATGTTGGCGTCAATGACCTACTTTCATTAACAACACAAAGTTTTGATTCTGTAGATTTAGTTATCAACCTTTTTCTTGAAATCATCTGACAATTTTCTTTTATAGGTATAATAATAATTTTACCTTACGAAAATAGAGAAAATAAGAAGTTTCTTGAATACATATAGTAGTAATACAGTTTTGAAAGTATTTGAAAAGATAAAAATTGGCACAATTATGCCAAATTTTATGCCAAACACGAAGGAAATAGTATTATCTTGAATTTGATGGGATCCATTTGCATCGATCTGAGAAAGGTTCAAGCGATTGACTGAACGTTAAATTCTAGAGCTACCAATTGAGTTGAAGGGATAATATTTTTATAGTATGAATTTAACAAAATTTTTATTTTATTCGTATTTTATTTTTAAATAAATATTAAACAAATCCTTTTGCATTAACGCATTATATTAAAAATTTTAACTTAATTTTGGGATTCCTTTATTCAATAAGAATTGACGTGACATGAGTACATAAAATGAAAAAAAA